GAGAGAGAGAGAGAGAGAGAGAGAGAGAGAGAGAGAGAGAGAGAGAGAGAGAGGAGATTTTAAGTTTTTCTTTCGGAGCCAGGCACTGAGGTCTGAGACTGGAGGTGTGTTTGAGGAGAGGAGATCGGGGCGGAGGAGAGATGTTGGAGGTGTGTTTGAGGAGAGAAGATCGGGGTGGAGGAGAGATTGTTATTAGTAGGAGCTGCCATACATTGGTTCTTCTACTTCTTCTCCCACCTTCTTCCTCCATCTCCCATCTTGTTCTCCGACTCTGTATGATCACAGCGGGAGTGCTTTCAATCCCTCTCCGGATGGTGTGAGATCGGATCTGAGTCACATTGTCAGTTTGCTGCATTGCCAGGTCAGTCCTATGACTCCTATCTGATTTGATTCTTGTGCTGTGTCACATTTCATCTCTTCCTCATGTTGGTTATCTTTGGATTTGAGATGGCCTTAGACGTATACGGGGCATGCATCACTTACCCTCGGCTACCCGTTCATCACTCTGAAATGTGTTCTCCTGTCATCCCGAACTTTCCAGCCTTCAGGCTGTGTACCTGTGCCCTCTCAACTGATCAGTTTGGCACACGTCTGGCAATTTCTCGGCCTTTTGGCTAAGATCAAGTGTAGTATCTGTTCTGATCAGTTTAATATCTGATCTATAAAAAAAAATAAAAAAAATGAATAGAGAGATGGTGAGCTTGCGTTGAAGGTAGTTCCACATGTAGCTCAAGTCCTGAGAGGTGCAACACTGCTAGGGGCTACTAGCTTTAAAAAATGAGAAAGAAAAACAAAAAAAAAAGGTTTCTGTGATGTTTTTCAGCCCTGTTCCTGTCTGGCGCCTGAAGTTTGCACACGATTGGCTATTCATAATGAGATCATGACGTCAAATCCTGAGGGATAGAAGAATGCTACAAGCGATCTTATTTTAAAACTGAGGAAAAAGAAAAAGGGAAGGTTTTTGGCACTCCGTTCCCGCCAGTGGTCTTATGTACTGTAGGATGAGCGTGCATTCAACTCCTCCCAACTTCCCATTCTGGAAGTTGGCTATCTTTTTCTGTGGCAAAGCTCTGCTCCTTGCCTTCTTTCCCCCGTCTCCCTGAAGGGGGGAAACGTCGGCTATGGCACTCTCTGCTGTAGTGCAATGTAAAGACAACGCTGGAGGTATTGAGCAAGCTCATGTGAGTACCCCCTCATTGTTGTTCAATGACATATTGATTGGGCCCTGCACCTCATCTCAGTCAAAAGGCCGAGAAACAGTGTTGCATACCCCGACGGTTGGCAGCCCTTGGCTGGTCGGCACCTACCAGTTGGTGGTCGGCGGCACCCAGCAAAAAAGAAAAAAGAAAAAAAGAACGGTCCAGAACTGCCCCTTGGATAGGCGGGTCGAGCCACAAGAGTAGGCTGACTATCTTTTCTGTCTAATCCCCCCCGCTGCTTGTTTCAAAAATCTTTGCTTGCCGGTGATAAGCAACCAGACCGATGCCCCCCAGAATAGAAGGAGCTGGGAGTTTTTTTTTAATGAAAAAGAACCCCCAATACCCCCGTAGACATCACCAACAGCCACAAATGGCCCCCCAACACCCTCGTACCCCCCCCAATACCCCCTATACCACCCCTACACTCCCCCAGCCCCCCCATACCCCCTCCAATCCGCAAAAGTTTCTTAGCGGAATTGGCTTGTACTCAGCAAGCACAGTACAGCCCCCAACTCAGATATGAAAAAAAATCAGTGGATGGATGTCCTCTGACCGGTCGACCCTACTGGTCGGCTGCAAAGCGGTTGGCAGATATGCAACCCTGCCGAGAAAGGTAAAAGGTCGGGACTGGATATTTAAGCTCGTCTCTGCTCAACTGCTCTGTGCTTGGAAGGAGGGCTTTCTTTGTCTATCATCTGAATAGCAGACCACATTCTGGGTTTCAATGATGACCTTTTTTCTTGCAAAGCTCTCATCTTCACAGTTGCGCTGTACTGTGTTTGGGAAGAAGTGCTTTTCGTTCCTTTTATCTGAATGGGATGACGACAATCTGCAAAGCTCTGCTCTGGCCACTTGTGAAAACCACGAAAAGCACTTGGTGCTCTACTGTGATTGGCAAGAAGAAGGGCTTTCCCTCTTGTTCATCTGAATGGCATTGTGCGGGTCATGAAGTCTCTGGATTCAGAAGACACTTAGTTAACCATGTCTGTGTGCTTGTGCATGAAATGCCGTTTTTGTGTTGTGAAGGCGATAGAGCCGAGATCTCCGCAATCAGACAGCGCGAACACTAATGGTGCGGTCCTTCCACCATCATCGAGAGATAGGGGTGAAGATAATAGCAAGGTGAGTGTGATTGCAACACTAAGGCCCATTCCCAAAGGAAAGGGGTGTTAGGCTGAGTTTGCCGGACAGTTCTGGGTGCTGAATTGCTGTTGGGCTGAATTGGCTGTTTTGCCTAGTAGGCACAGTCAGGAGTTATTTGGAATTCAGTGAGCATGCAATCAGTTCACAGCGCTCTCCGGCCTGCCCCTAACGTGTTGCGACATTCCATTGACATTTAAAACGATGTGCACTACGTGCTTGTATGTATATAGTGATTATGATGGCGCTGTGGATGGTGGTGGACATTAATGAGAGCATGATGACGATGATCTCATCACTTCGGTGATGAAGCTCAGGCATCCTAAGGGAGGATTGGATTTGTGCTGCTTGGGTCCTTCGGGTTTGTAGTTAGTTATTAACCACCCAATATATACTGCAAGGAAGTCTACCACTATACAGAAAGAATTGTCTGTCAACATAACAGGGCTCCTACACATCTCATAAGGAAGCAATCATTACCGATAATAGAAATTGATCATCAATGCACTACCTCATTCTGCAAGACGTATCTGTTCAAGGCTAGTTTCCTCCCTAATTGTGATCTACATTTGCAGAATGAGCGTCTGTTTCCCATTTGGTCCATATGATCTGGTGCCATCCCCTGATGGAGAGGAGTCCGCTCTGAGCTGTGTTGTGTGACTGTTTGTCTACAGCTAATTGCTGAAGATTTTACCTCTGTGTGTGTGTGTGTGTGTGTGTGTGTGTGTGTGTGTGTGTGTGTGTGTGTGTGTGTGTGTGTGTGTGTGTGTGTGTGTGTG